TCCAGCGACATCAAAGACTTCCTCAAGTTTTGTCCATGAGTGTAAATTGTATTCTCTATAGAATCATAGAAAGAGAGCTTGTTGAACTGGCAAAATAGAAAATTCTGTATAGGTCCATGATGTGCCTTAAATATGCTTTAGAGGCACCTCAATATTTTCAGAAAGGGTAAAACTGTAGTGAACACTGAGAGGGTTTTATTGTATTTTGGAAGATATGGAACTTCATCCCCATTGGTGGGTGCAGGGGTGTTCTGTGTGCAATTTGATGACACCAGGATTGTGAGCGGGTCATCTGATAAGACCATTAAGGTAAGGAGGAGGCATTACGCTGCAGCGCAGGTTTTACCAGTGAGTGCGCAGGTGTGGAACATCCGCACCAACAGTCCCTGGTCTGTGATGACCCTGGTGGGCCACTCAGGAACAGTCCGCTGCCTGCACCTGCAGGGTAACCGCCTGGTGAGCGGCTCTTCAGACTGCACCATTAAGGTGGGTAGTGTTTTTTTTTTTGCTTATTCCTAGTACACGTGGTACAGGCCATGATGAGTATGGTGGGTAGAAGTAGGCGACTGCTTTTACTGTAAGTGCACCACATGTCTACACATGTGAAAAGCAGTTTGACTTTGCACTTACAAATGTACCAGAGCCCCGTTTGGTTACTTGCACTCGCTGGTGGGGTTGGGCTTTTACAAGAATCGGGGGCCATTGAAGCTTTTTTTTTTAACATAATAAAAGTGCCCAATGCGGGAATCAAACCCGAGTCGTAGCGGTCGAAAACCAATGGTTTAGACTATCCTTCCACCGACTCCCAGGTGGGTAGTGTTGGTGGCGTAGTTGTTGCTGATGTGGTGAGACAGAGGTGTGGGGCAGGTGTGGGACCTCAGCACCCAGCACACGTGGTCCAGCATCGCCTGCAAGGTGACCATGGTGGGCCACAGCCACACCGTCCGCTGCCTGCAGGTCGACGAGGATAAGGTGGTAAGCGGCTCCTACGACCACACCCTCAAGGTGTGGGACCTCCGCACGGGACTCTGCCGTGAAACCCTGGTGTAAGTGATTTAAACCTTGTTGCTGTTGTTGAATAGAACTGACAACCATGATGTCCAGGGGACATGAAGGAGCCGTACTCTGCCTGCAGTTTGACACCACCAAGATAGTGTCTGGTTCTGGTGACAAGACTATCAAGGTAACATTGAACCCCCCATTTTTTGTATGTTGTAGAAATGTGGAATTTACAAGACAGCTCTGATGCTATCCCTGTTTACATCATGAAGTTTCACAAATTGACACAAGATCCAAATAAAGTAAATTTCACTCATGGACACAACTTAAGGAAGTTATACCTTTTAGCATGTGTATCAGGATTGAGACAATAACTCTGAAAGATATTACAGTGACCATTATCGTGAAGATGCACAAGATAACCAAGTGTGAACAAAATTGCCTCTGTCTCCTTCAAAAAATAGATGACTGGCGACATCAAAAACTTTCCACTTCTTAAGTTTTGTTCATGAATGCATATGTGATGTGTTTCGGTAACCAGATTGTCACCAAGTAATTCCTATCTATAATCCAAATTGTACCACATTGTCATGATGGTTGGTTATTTTCCCCCAAAGGCAAGACCCCATTATACTATCATCACTTGGAACCATGACTTTATGTTGTTAGACTTAAAAAGTTATTCTAACCACAGTTGGAACAAATTTGGCATATGAGCAAGCGGACACCTCTTTACCAAGGGCAGTCACCACAATTATCATTTTTACCATTTAGAAACTCTCTGGTAAGAGGACACCTCTCCCTAAAGGACACTTTGGCTCTGCAACCAGAGAGGTTCGTCTATACAAATGATCTAACTAGAATTCAGTGGTCATGCTTCTTTGGCCTGATGAGATCATGGATTCATCGACCCTTTTAGTCTGGGATCTAACCAAGTTTTTATAAGTATGCAATAGTCATTTGCTGGCTTTTAAAAATAGTTACATAGAAGGAACATGCCCTCCATTGGGATTGTTATGGCGGCACTGTGTCAAGGATGGTCGAATGAGAAAACAGAATTGGGAAGAATCTCTGGTCGACTCCTTTTTATTTACCTTAGGTATTACAGGCAAACAAAGGATGTACATAAAGTGAGCAGTCATTGAACTCAACAATGTCCCCCAAAACAGACAGTTGTCCCTCCTCCATGAGCACTCTTTCCCTCCGCTATACATATCCTGGAACTGCCACCATGCTGAATATATCTTTCATGCATAGTCTTAAAAAACATCTTGAATGTATTAACACAAGGTAATAAGACCAAATCCAAATAAATAAATAGTGTGTAACGTTACCGAAACATCACACACTATTTATTTATTTGGATTTGGTCTTATTACCTTGTGTTTATAATCTATAATCCAAATTGTGCCTTATCATCTTGAATGTATTGTGCTGAACTTGCAATGTTACTTATTTGCCCAACAAAAACTCACAGAATATGTGAAAGAAAGGTTCAAATAGAAGTGTATCGGCAGGTGTGGAAGGAGGGCCGTTGCGCTGTCACCCTCAACGGCCATGAGGATGCAGTGACCTGCCTGCAGTTTGACTCCTGCCGCATCATCTCAGGCTCCCTGGACCGCACCATCAAGTTCTGGAGCCAGGAGACCGGAGCCTGCCTCAGTACACTGGACTGGATGAAGTCTGAGGGCCACACGGGGGTGATCCGCTGTCTGCAGGCTGATGGATGGAGGATTGTCAGTGGCGGGGATGACAAGACACTCAAGGTACCCAACTTAACCCAGGGGCATCATCTCCAGTTCTACCTTTTAAATAACATTGGCAAAATTGTGGACAGGAGCCTGCAGACAGTATACCATAAACACATGGTAATAAGATCAAATCCAAAAAAATAGTGTGACGTTTCGGTAACAATACTGTTGCAATGCTTGTTTAGATTTGGTCTTATTACCTTGTGTTTATAATCTATAATCCAAATTGTGTGCCTTATTATACTATATCATGTAAATATTTTAACATTAATCCCATATCTAATCTTTATTGTCAATAAATTTGTTGGCCTTATTAGATAAATCTATCCTTTCTGCTGCTGTTCAGGAAATAGCTAGTTCCTCTGCCACTTCTCTAATGGTTTCAAGGAAGTTCCTTACTAGGTTTCACAATTAATTAAGCAGTATACCTGATGAGGCACAATTTGGATTGTAGATTATAAACACAAGGTAATAAGACCAAATCCAAATAAATAAATAGTGTGTGACGTTTCGGTAACAGCGTTGTTACCATCTTCAGACAAAAGTACTGAATGAGAGAATTTTACCACAGCATGCTGTGGTAAAATTCTCTCATTCAGTACTTTTGTCTGAAGATGGTAACAACGCTGTTACCGAAACGTCACACACTATTTATTTATTTGGATTTGGTCTTATTACCTTGTGTTTATAAGCAGTATACCGTACAATTTGAATTATAGATTAGAAATCAGACAAAAGTACTGTAAAAATGCTGATTCAGGTACTCGTGTTCTATCGGAGATTTATTGTGATTTCTCCTGTAGAGGGCCTGAAAGCTAGAGATTGGAATTAATTTTTTTAAAAAGAGAAACTTATATCCTTTAAAGCTTGGATGTTTTCACCTTAATATTGATAAAAAGGAGTATTTATTTTGATTTGGTCTTAATACCTTGTTTCTGATCTATATTCCAAATTTTACTTAATCATTAAACCTTGCATTAGTATTCCATTGTATATAAACACAAGGTAATAAGACCAAATCCAAATAAATAGTGTGTGACATTTCGGTAACAGCGTTGTTACCGAAACATCACACACTATTTATTTGGATTTGGTCTTATTACCTTGTGTTTATAATCCAAATTGTTGCTTATCATCCATTGTATATTGCCACGTGGAAAATTAGGGAAGACCAACTTTGGAATGAGACAACAATTTATTTCAGACAAGAACAAACTATGAATGATAAACAAAAGATCAGCAAAGAGGGAAGTGTACAGAGTATAGCAAAATATAAACTTAAAAACAAGGTAATAAGACCAAATCCAAATAAATAAATAGTGTGTGACGTTTCGGTAACAGCGTTGTTACCGAAACGTCACACACTATTTATTTATTTGGATTTGGTCTTATTACCTTGTGTTTATAATCTATAATCCAAATTGTGCCTTATCATTAAACATAAAAAATAATACTCTGCTAATAAATACTTTGTTATATAGTTACACAAGGTGATTTTCTTGGTTGTGTTCCTCCTGGGGCAGTATTCAGTGTCTCTGTGGTTTTATCTCCCCTCAGAGTGTGGTTGGTGGTCTCCAGGTGTGGAGTGTGGAGAGTGGCCAGCGTCTCGTCACCCTCCGCAACCACACGGACGGAGTCACTTGTCTGCAGTTCAACGACGCCATGGTGGTGTCCGGCTCTTACGACCAGACTGTTAAACTCTGGGACTTCAGTAGTGTTTGACTGCCTCCCTGTTCCTATTTTTTTGTTTTTACATCCTTTTTTTATATATTTTTTTCTACTTCTCTCTTCATTTTTTAGAAAATTATATTTCCCTTATTTATATATTTCCCTCTCTCGCCAATCTCCATGCTGCAGCAGTTTTGTGGTGTCTCGAATGACTCTAGCTTTCTTGTGGCTGTAAACTCCCGTAGGACCCAAATCTAATCCTCAAGGAAGAACACCTCAGGGTCCTGTGGTTATACCAATCACATGGACCAAGATAAAATCCCCAGTGATGACTGTCCATTACAGTGAGCTGGTATAGTGTGGTAATTTGGGACAAATGCTGTGCTGGGTTACTCCAAGATGTGTTGTTGTTGTTGTTGTTGTTTCTTATCCCCTTGTGTAAAGATTACACGAATTCTTTTATCTTAGTTTGGTGGAGTATGGTATTTCTGGGGTTTATATTGGGGCATACACCAATGTCTGTTCACACTACATCGCCATTACTATAAAAACTGTGTTCTATAGAGAACAATCTGCGCGCCTACGGCCATACCACATTGAAAACACCGGTTCTCGTCCGATCACCGAAGTTAAGCAATGTCGGGCCCGGTCAGTACTTGGGAGGGTGACAATCTGCGCGGATTGAACTGACAATAGAACATCAAGTTGAGGTCATTATTGAGCCAACTTGATAAGGTTTATAAGGGGCAGAAATATTGCTTTAGAAGATGAAAAAAAAAGGAAACCTTTTAAAATAAATCTATCAGAGGATACCTCTAGAACCTTCTCTTTTGATCATTGAAGTACAGCCTGCACTACAACAGCCATGTATTCTACCAGGCCAATATTCTTAACAATGTTTAGTTGATATTTGATTGGACATCTACAGTTGCCAGATTAGGAGATATGCTCTCAGGAGAATAAAAAAATCTTGAATATCTGAACTAATGTGTTAACTGGATGGAAATGTTGAGAAATGCTGTGTTGGTTGGTCCTTCAAGACACCCGGTGTCTGCTAGCTGTCTTATAAGTACTTAATTTTTTATCTCTCAGGAAGTTCTTTCTTTAACAGAAGGTGTGTCTTGTTTCCAGAACCTCCAATGAAGAGGTTGTAGAGAATTGGTCAACACAGTTGTGGTAGGTTCCATCCTTGAAGACTTGTTCAGAGAAACCTGCCATGCAGAGGTGAGAGCTTAGAAACCAGACTTGGTCATTTCTGCCTAAAACATTCTGATAGTTGTGAAGACTGGCTGTGAACCTCAGAACTGTGGATGGACTGTGCCTAGAGACATATTGCTGGCAGGTCAGTGGGTGAAGTTTCAAATACATAGGTCAGTAAAACTCTTGTAACAACAGCTCAATGAGGGATAGAAGGAAGCAAGATCAATTGTTTCCAGGGTTCATTGATGAAATCATGATGTTGAATGATGGAGATAGTTTGCTATCACTGGTAAAGGGATAAACAATTGGCTGGAGTAGCTAGGTCTTCCTTACCACGGTGAGTGAAGGATGTCCCATCCGTGAAGTCACCACAAAACTGTCTGCAGCAGTTGTGTGGCAGCTTGCTCACTACAGGGAGGCTAGTCCAGGTGTGTGTGTGTGCCAATCCTCTGGTCTGTGTACAGTAGGTAGTCTTACTTTCTCTCAATACTTAGTGAGGAGGGGGCAGTTGTGTGCTGGCAGCCCCCTCTACGGCCGTCCACAGCTCGGAGCTTGTTTTGTTCTTTCAATTTGCATATTGGGTGTTGGACACTTAAAGATGATTTATTTATTCCCCCCCCCCCCATTCCAAAATTGCTCTGCGGGCAATTTTGGAGGGGAAAAAATGCTTATTTAAAAAATATATATTTATGTGTTTATATATTTTTTACACCAATGGCTTGTAATACTTGTGAAGACTACCACCAGAAACATAGTTGCATATTGGCAGAATCCCAGTACAACTTCCCATAACCTGGATATTGGCCGTGGAGCTCAAGTAATTTCTCCTCTAACAAAGTCTCTGATTTCCCACAGTTGGTTGGTTATGGGAGGTTTTACTGCCCCACATTACTCCTATGTAGAAACACAAGACACACACACACTCCCAGCAATAACTTTCCCACCAGGCATGTGCAACACAGGCCGGATAACTAAATGTCTCCTCATTTATAATTTATAAGGGACAGTGGAAACTGTTTTATTTCAAGGAACTGATTGTGAAGAAAGTTGTAATATGAGAATAATAGAATTTTTGTTGTTATTATTATATATATAAAAAATCTTAGAATAATTTCTGTTAACCAACTACATATATCTTTGTAACATAGCATGCTATTTAATTAAAAAGGCATATATTGGATCAAAATATCATTTATTTTACCAATATTTCAGTTGGCTGAACGCCAACCTTTATCAAGGTATTATAACTATATATATAATAAATATTGGTAAAATAAATGCTATTTTGATCCAATATAGGCCTTTTTAATTAAAGATTTATTTATGGATTGCTCTATTTTCAATAGCATGCTATGTCGAAAAAAAATATTCTGATCATATTTATTTATTTGTCTAAAAATATAAAAATCATGTGCATTGGCCTAAATTTATTTTTAGGTGTCAGGTTTATATTAATATATTTTCTAATTGTTGCGAGAGAGGGGGCAATAAGATCAAGTTGAAAGCCGTGTGTTTGCACATACCTGGTCAAGCTGGAATCCCACCACTTCTAAGGCAGATTGTTTTGCTATATAAGGAGGTAGCAAGTTCTATAGCGAAGGAATGTGCTTAAGTCAATTGCTGTTTCGCTCGCTATAGCTGCTGCATCCAACTTTCATAAAAGAACTTTCCCTCTTTAGATAATAACTTTCATTACAGTAAAACCTCCTCTTCACTATAGTGACTGAGAGCTTTTGGTCAGCCATGGTTTACTCTATTATATACATTTGTTCTTTTTTTTTTTTTAATGGGATTATATTTTGTTTGTTATATAAGGGAGGGTTCGCTATAATATTCCTGGTTTTACTGTATTTACAACCTCTGTTTAAACAGTCGAATATGCAACCATATTTTACCCCCCATTTATAAAAGTAAAAAGAGCACAAAGTGAAAAAAAGTTCCCTTACAGGACTTTCTAACATTTCCCAAAACAATTTCCCTTTTTATCAGTACGACACTTTAACTGAAGAGATTTATGTATCCACAGTCTAGCAACCCTCCATTTTACCTTACCTTTATACACCTAGTTGATCTATGCATTTTTCTCTCTTGTATGTAAATAGGTGTTGTGGTGTGTGTACTTAAAAATGCGGCAGCTTTGTTATTTAAATAACTTTTTTTTTTGGTACTGTCTCACCTTGTTGTTTGCCATATTATAAAATTTGATGATGATGATGAAAAAAATATTAAGACAATAAAAAAAAGGCCATTTTTTAAAAAGTTGCAATTTGTTTTTTTTTTATTAAGTATTATTATATTATTATTTGGATTGCTCCACAAAGAGGTTTTTTTTTTTCTTTGGTAATATTTTTCCATCAAAAAAAAAGAAAAACAATTTTTTTTTTTCCATGGAAAAAGATAGCAAAGAAAGAAAGATGCTTTAATATATTTTACAAGAGATGTGACGGTGTGGAGAGGTATAAAACCAACACAAAGGAGAAGAGAGGAATGCAGAGAAGAACAACTTTGGACCGTCAGAGCTTTTCTAAGAAGAAGTGAAGTATTGCAAAGATGCACCAAGTTTTCTGATGATGAAAGTGAAAAAGCTTTTTTTTTTTTCTTTTAAGTGTTTTTTTTTTATGGTTTAGTTAGAAAAAAATTCATAGAATTTTTTTTTTTTGGGAGGTTTGGCTTGGAATTTGGCACGATGCAACAAGTGACTGTCTTCCTATATAAAATTTACAAAAAGCTCTCTATGACTTATAAGAAGGATGTATCATAAGGTTCGTTGCAGCGACTTGGGCCGTCTTTCTTCTTCAATTTTTTTTTCTCTTTATCATCAGAAGAGTAAGAAAAGAATTTTTTTTCTTTAATAGATTTTTTTTTGTTATTTTTTTTTTGCAATAGATTTTTTTTATAAAATAATATTATCAGAAAGAGAGGGAGAAAAATTTGTTGGTGGGTGAGCAGTACGGAGGTATGTACAAGGCACTAGGAAGAGGAGGTGTCCGGGAGATAAGGCAGGCTGTGCCGCTGCAGCAGTTGGTGAGCGGCCAAGTCCATTTCCTCCTGGGTGAGATCAATGGCCTCCGCCAGCTCACGCTGCGTTGTGCGCACAAACTCCGGGTCGCAGTACCGCCCCAGCCCTTGCTCCTGTAGCACCTGCACATAGAGAGGTTCAGTCCCCTTGCGCTGCTGCACTGCAGCTGGATCCACTTACGCGGCCAACAAGACTTTCGGCACTTCCCACTATCACTTCGTAAGGCAGTTCTACCCTGGAGCGACTGTCCGTAGTTCCTGCCAACAGACCAACAGTCAGCCTTGGTGTCAGTTGGGGAGGTGGGCTGGTGTTACCGTGGTATGAGGCACGGTGGTAGGGCCGGCTGGGGCTGACTCCCAGCACTGCCAGGGCCGGCATCTGGGCCAGCCTCAGGGAAGCCGCGATGTGGCCTGTGGGGCGCCGTGGCGGAGGTGTGGGGGGGCCGCACGCAGGGAGACTCTGGCAGGGACAAGCTGTGCAGAAGACTTCACCCTAGCTGTGATGACTGCGGCTTGCAAGCTACGGTAACACTTACTTGGTGGAGCCACCACCCCCAAAAAGCTCGTAGCTTCCTTGGGAGGGGCTGTCCTCCTCTTGGCTGGCGGCGGGCTGGTGGAGGTAGTTGTGCAGCTTGTACAGGTAGACATCATCCACCGACAGGGAGCTGCTCCACTCAGGTCACACACAGCACAATACGGTGGACAGCGGTTACCTGGAGCGGCTGGCAGGACGAGGGGGGCACGGAGAGGAGATGGAGTTAGGCAGGCTGCGGATGAACTTGCGGGGTGAGGATGGGGCCACAGTGGCAGCTGAGCGGAGGGAGAGTGTGCGGTGGTGGTGTGCAGAGGGCCAGATGGCCCCAAAGAGGGAGTTCTCCCTCTGCAGCGCCTGCCCCACTCCACCAAATCAGCACAGCAGCCACACACAACCAATGCCACAGCTCACCCTATGGGGCTCCTCCAACTCTAAGTTGCCAGAGATGGCCCTACGGATCTCCGGACCCAGCTCGTGCAGAGTCCGCAACCCGGCTTGGAGGGCAATGGCATTCTCTGAGGCCCCCAGCGTCCCACGGAGCTCCTTACGCTTCTTGAAACGGCGGAAGTAGTCTTGGATAAGGAAGGTGGCATAGAACTTGCCCACAGTTACGTCATCTTCAGCTGCCACCACATGTAGCTTAGGTGGCCATTTGGAGACGGGGGACACAACTTGAAGGAACAAGGTTGCTTGTTCTAATCCAAATATCTAATTGTGCATGCACTGCAATACCATGGCTACAAAATACCACATGTTACCTTGTTACAGTGAAATGGATAAGAGATGAGCACAACACTGGAAAAATTCTAATTTTTCATCACACTATCATTATTAGCATGACTACATGTTTTTAAAGACAGATTTCTAAAACCAACTGAATGTAGAAAAACAAAGGATATATTAGGAACCCTCCCAATATGATCTTCCAAT